CTCAAGATATTATTCGATGATTTTCAAACAAATTCAAAAGTTCTGTGGAAAGACATGTGACTTGTACGAAGTGTGGTCATTCAACAAACAGTTAGATACAATCAATGATTCAGACTCTGTACAACTGAAGCTATACTAACATAACATTTTGACATGAACTTGTTTTCGTAGTAGGTTTTAGTTCACAGCATGTCAAAACGAAAATAACAAGAAATACATAGTACTTCACAAGATTTTAGTAGGATTAAACGCAAAAACTAAATCCAAGTATTCCATTATTATATTTCATAAATATTTCAGATATTGTTAAACATAACAAAAAGGTATAAACAATTATCGTACGATGATTAGTATAACTGGATTTTGGCTGGTTCTTTTTTATTCTTATCATAACGAATAATATTGAATAAAGTATTAAAAAATAGTAAATTCGAAATAATCGAAGGATCATTCGTTCTCTTATTTAATGCATGAGAGAAATCAAGATAATATGTATCTTTTAGTTGACAAATCATGTACAAATAGCATCGAACAAACGAAGAAAAAAACAGAAGTGACTATTACTTACTTAATCGTCATGACACCACGAATATTCTTCTACGAAAGTCAGAAAAATTCAATCGTTTACAGAAATGAAATGCTCAAAAACAGATTTTACATGTTGCTATTATAAGATACTGTTCACATCTTCTGATAAGCATAATTTTTATCAGTATATCCATTCGAAAAGTGTGAAAATTTGGTAATAATCTGTCTATAAGGAAGACATATCGATTAACGATATATCACAGAAATAATAACAATTGTAAACATATTTTACTTGATTCTTTTTCTTTTGCTTCTGTTAAACAAAGAAAAATTATTTACATTAAGACATTTCTTTTCTCTTTTCTTTTCTTGCGCAAAGACGTTTAACTTAATTATAAGTGCACAACAAATTATTACACTATTTCGAGTAGCAAAAGAGAATCTTTTTATTATATCTGTGAATCGTGCTATAATGTGTTTCAATATTATGACTGGTGTTACCTTGGAACAATATCGATATAGAATAATTCTATTGATCATTATTTTGAATTAACTTATGACATGAGAGCGATGAGATAAAAAAAATACAAGCATCATCGACATAATGGTATGATGTTGAATAACAGTATTTCTCGGAAATCCTCAAGAATATTAATAAGTTATTATAATCTATCCCCTAACTTAAAACAGTGTTTGAAGTGATAAGTTTTTTACAAACTCAAATTAAACGGTTTTTTTTGTGAATATATAAATTATAATCATGATCTTATTTCAATGAGATTAAGTATGTAAAACGACGCGTGATGCTAAGCTTCCATTGTAAAGATTTTAATAATCGAGAAATGATGTATTGTCCTTCATTTTTAATAGTAAATATTTTTGATTTTACTAAAAAAATTATGATTCTTCAAAACCTTAGATAAACTCTGATACTGTTTCTCTTAATACATTGTTAACAGTGAACATTTGTGTGGTGCAAAATATAAAAAACTATTTACTTTTGAAAAGACTCTTGATGTACTTTTTTAAATATTAACAGGAGTACACTTCACTCACGTATATAAACTTCATTCTTGATATATTAATAGTGAAAATATTTTATAATTACCTCACTAGTGAAATAGCCTTGAGTATAGTTGTTCTCTTCAAAGAATACAAGTTAATAGATGATTTAAGTTACGAAAAGATTTTGTCAAGAGATAAAAATTGAATAGAAAAAAAAGTATTTTTTTTTTAACTTTTATATGATATTATAAAAAAAAACAATTTGTTTGAATAAGTGTATTTTATATTATGAAAATTACTTTAACCAAAGGTAATGAGTAAAATTTTTTCTTCTTATATTATTAAAAATTGAATGTACTTTTCTTTTTTTTTTCAAGTGCAGCTATTGCGTTTTTTTTCACGTTTGATAGAGAAAAAAGGATGAAAACAATTGTACTTTTAACTAAAAATAATTTCATTATATTGTTAGTTGAGAAAATGAAGAGATGCACATTCCCTTATAATAATATAACGTAGAGACGTATGAATAAAAACGTTCATACAATAAAGGTAAGATGAAATCTAATCATTATGTAATTTTTCGAGCATTTGGAGAAAATATTCAGTAAAAATGATTTGAATAGATGTGATATCTAATTTAAAAAAATCGAAGGAAAGTAAAAGGAGGTATATTAATAATATCATTACTATAACCATTCCTGTTTAACGTTGCTTTGGTATTCTAAATAAATTATTTTTACTGTAAATAGCAGATAAATTCGAGAAGATCCATATATTCGAAGTTGACGTAGACTTAATCTTAATTAATTTTTTGTATTATCCATCAACGAGTTTTATTTATATCACAAGCCAATAATTAATTGGTTCACCATACCCTATTAATATAGTTATTCTAGTGCACTATCTACGTAGGTGAAGTTAACACCGCATTCGAGTAAAATCTTTGCATATTTGTTCGGAGATCTGTGTTAAACGTTTGGGATAGTTTTTTGTAGGAATATGATATTAGATTCACCTGCATGCCTTTTCTCCCAGTTATATGATCATATCTTTCAGTTTGAATTTCTAGCGATGAGATAAACATAAAAGAAAAAAAATGTAATCATGTAAAATTAATATTTTTAAAATATTAACTTCTACTTCCTAGATGTTTCCCATCACATAAACAACAAAGAAAAAATAATTTCTAACAAGTAAAATTTTTTGTCGTTCTCCGAATAGCCAAAGCGATATTAACGATGGTAACACTCAACAAACAAACCTCTCCACAATCGTATTTTATTATAACATATAGTTAATTTCATAATGAAAATCAGTTACGAACAAGATAAATTCAATTTCTGTATATATTAGAAAATATATATATATCCGAAATACTTGAAAAAGAACGTTTCTAATGTTTTTTTTATTGAAGAATAAAGAATTGTAAATGGTATAAAAATAAAAACAAGTCATCATAATTATTAATTATCTATGATGGTCGAAGCGTACGCAGGATAATAGTTTCATCGGAATTTAGATGATAGAATCGCTCATAAATCTCTAGATTAGCAGTCCGACAGCAGAAAATTCGTGCCAGATTACTTTATTACAATCAATTGCGTTGCATACGATTTTTTTCTAGAAAAAAGTGCTTTCTAAGCGATTTTATAAACATCCCATACATCATATGTAATTGTATTTCACAGAGGCGTTCGTAAATAAAAATACCGCTAAGATCGTAATGATGTCGTAGTTTATATCCGTGTAATTTTCTCATCAGATGTCACTACCTATTTAATATGACAATAAATTATATTTTAGATAATATATATATATATGATATTATTTGACATTTTTCATATTTGGTTGTGGTTGCTGTTGATTGGACCAATATCAGGTACGTATTTAATACACTTTTCAAAAATTGTTTTAAAGAGAGTAAAATTATGGAGCTTCAATCTTTTTTTGTATATAAATCTCACCGATACAGCATCACATTTATTCGATCTATAAGAATGTGAGAAATGATTGAGGCCACAGTGAACTTTTCTGTCTATAGCTAAACTCAATGTGATAACTACATTTTCAAGATTTACATTGTATCCCTGAATATTTTGATAGATTAGGGCTTGAAGTAGTAGTCTCAGAAATCAATATCAAAGTTTCAAAAAAACAATTTCTATAGAATTTTATGTTTGAGTAATATCGAGAACGAAAATACTAAATGCTTCATTTGAGTTTATAATAATCTTTATCGTTCAAATTCTAGTCATAGTTTTCTTATTTCATTTAGGCATCTCCTACAATCAACCTAAACTTTGTGCAAATGCATCGTGGAATTCCACAGCAATAACGTTCGCGAACAGCACTGTAGTTGGTACATATCTTTTAGGCATGTTTGTCAATACAAATAACAGCGTTTATGTCGCTAGTTATTCGAATGGGATAATTCAAGTGTGGCTTAACGGAAGTACCACACTTACAGGCAGTTACTCGGGTGGCTTATCCCTGCCTTATAGCGTTTTCGTTACGGACAATGGTGATGTTTATGTCGACAATGGCAACGCAAATTATCGAGTTGATAAATGGGGATGGAATTCAACAAGTAGTGTTCCAGCAATGTATACGTGTGGACAATGCTACGGTCTCTTTGTCGATAGCAATAATATGCTTTACTGCGTAATGGGTGCGTATCATCAAGTTGTCTCGAAGTCATTAGATACACGTTTAAATGTATGGAATATTGTCGCAGGTACAGGTACAGCTGGATCAACATCGGTTACACTTAATAATCCATGGGCAATCTTTGTTGATAATAATTTAAACTTATATGTGGCTGATTATTCAAATAATCGAATTCAAAAATTTGCATCAGGACAATTAAATGGAACAACAATAGGAACAGGAGCTATTATATTGGCTGGTCCAACTTCAGTTATACTTGATGCTGATGGATATATCTTTATTACTGATATGATAAATCAGCGCCTTATTGGCTCAGGACCTAATGGGTTTCGATGTATAGCAGC